TTGCAGGGGACACAGGTTCGAGCCCTGGTCTGGGAGGATCCCACATGCCACGGAGCAACTAGGCCCGTGGGCCACAACTACTGAGCCTGAGCGTCTGGAGCCTGTGCTCCGCAACAAGAGAGGCCGCGATAGTGAGAGGCCCGCGCACCGCGATGAAGAGTGGCCTCCGCTTGCCACAACTAGAGAAAGCCCTTGCACAGAAACGAAGACCCAACACAGCCAAAAATAAATAAATTAATTAATGTCAGATGTAGGCTTGTGACATCCTCTGTCACATAGGGGAGGACGTAAGTCAGGCACCAGCAGATAAACAAAGCTTTAAAAAAAAAAGAAAAGAGAAATCATCATAGATCAAGACGTAGCTGATCTTAGGAGTGAGTGGTCTCGGGAACACGGCTCTGTGGCACCCTCCCCAGCTCCCTGTGTATCCAACACAGGATCAAAGCAGAGCGAAGGCCCCACTTCTATCTCACACCAGGGAACCGGCAGTCAAGAGGCAGGGAAGAAACACCTTGGACCTTTGCAGATACTAGAGATTCCATTTTGCAAAGAAAGGGATAGAATGCGGTCTCTTTTGTAAGGGAGGGATAGCACGTTCTGGGACAGGAGGGAGGTAGGGATGTTCATATCATGCACCTTCCAGAGGCCTGGGGCAGCCATCGACATCATCCCAAAGACCTAGGCTGGGTGGCCTCATTCTTCCATAGGATACAAGGGAAATGGGCAGCTAAACTAGGGTCATGAGGCCCAGTGCTCTTCCCTCAACGGGCACAATTTAACCTGTCATCTAAACCCTGGAGTAGGAACTGGCTCAACTTTCCTGGAAGCCAATGTGTATGTTTTTGCTTTGAGAGAAAAGGCATACAGGAGAGAGATGGGCTCTTACCAACCACTCCTTCTATGGATCTAAGTGAGCCCAGCAACACCTTCTTTGTGGGCTTGAAGGAAACGAGCACAGCAGAGACTGACAGAGCCTGTTCCCCACCACCTGCCAATCATTCCCACCCAGGCTGGGCAGAGACATGAGCTGAGGGCCTAACAGTGAGGGGCTTCCTGTGGGTTACAAGCTAGAGCCTCCTGCCTGCAACCTTCCAACCCCGGTGCAGTGTCGGCTGAACACTCCAGGCGAAACCAGGAACACACCTTCCACATTTTAAACCATCGGCAAAAGGGGGACAAGGAACCATAGTATATCAGCATCTCAGCAGTGGTTCCAAATGCAGGGAAAACTGAGGGGTGTATATTCAATTCTCTTGAAAATGGGCTGTTTCTCTTAGGCATTCTATAGCTGTGCAAACCAGAGAGGTACCTAGCAATATTCTTCTTTGCATCAAAATCCACTGGTGTTTCAAACGTACTATTTAAACTGACTATTGGAGACACAGTCTGGGGCAGGCTGGTGTCTGAGTTTATCAAGCTCTTTAAGCCGTTTGCTGTACTGCTATCCTGTGCTCAGGGGACTGCCCGTGGAGCCCGTGCAGGGAGGAGCTATCCTGCAGTAGCATGTTCTGGGGATGAAGAAAGGAAGCGGTGGGCACGAGCCCCGTGGATGAAGGGGATTTCTCAGAAGAGGATCAGGGAAACGAAAAATCAGAGATGTCCCTGGGATCTGTTTCGGTGCTGAGCAGATTTCTATCCAAAATAACTTTTCAAATGTCAGTGACCCTACGGTGGCCGAAGCCTACACAACATACATCTCCAAAGCCAACCGCGTGCCCCATCTCCCAATTACCTGCTTTCTCCAGGAGTTTGCACATCATCCACGCGGTCACAGAAGTCAGCTCGCTGGGCTTGGCTATCACAGTGTTGCCAGCAGCGATCGCTGGAGCCAGCTTCCAGGTCAGCAAGTAGAGGGGCAGATTCCAGGGACTGATCAGACCAGCTAACAGAGGATAACAGAAGCATTGCCAGCAATGACATGCCCCTCAAAGCAGATGGGCCAGACAGGCTTTATGAATGCAAACTCCTTCATGCTACACCAAACTTCAGCTTACTCTCCCAAAATCCCAAACTTTTGTAGCCAACTTCAGGGAACTAATTCTAAACTGTATTACAAGCAGCTGTACCTTTTAAGACTATAATCAGGACAGTCTACTCTTTTCTTGATGACTTACAATTATATTTATGAACAACAGCAATATAAGTTCTGGGGCTAAAAGACTGTCACCTGTCCCCAAACATTCTCAGAATGTGATCAATTTTGAGAGTTGTAGACTGATCTCTGTACTGTTTAAACTTCTCCCTCCTCATTAATCAAACAGGCCAGCTACTATTTCTTCTAAATTTCTCCATCTCTGTTTCTAATCTCTTGTGGATTGAGACATAAAATTTCTAGCTGTTCAGAATTATTTGTAAAATAAGAGCAATAGGTTCTGAGACTGTGAAATCCATTTTCGCTAACCCAGAGTATTTTTTAATTAAAAAAAAAAAATCTTTCTAGGTTCTCACCTGTATCCTGACCAGATAGGTTTGCTGGGTAAGTAACAGAACCAACATCTACAGTGGGTCTCCATGTAACATTCTGAAACCACCTAGGCTTCTGACCATAAAACGTGTAAAAATAAAACCTACATTATGAATCAGTAGATGGATTCACCTTATTTTATACTCTGCCCTCAAGCCTGAGCTATGAAAGTGAACATAGTTTACATTATTAAATTTCCCACTGAAAAATCTGCTCTTTAGGGGATAACAATATTTTTGCAGCATAATGTACTAGCATACTTCTTAGGAGGAGGTTGGAGCTTTCATAACGCCTTGAAAATACCATTTCCGAAGGGCTCAGGTAAAATGTTCCATTTTCTTCCCCCTTAACTTATCTTCTTTTATTCTATCATAAAATATAACTAGTAAAGTATGGACGGTAGTTGGTTTTTTCTCAGAGGAAACAGTGACATCTAGTGGAAACTTTTAGTTATTGCAGACATTTATATGTCCTCTAAAGGGCAAGAAGCAGAGAAATGAAAGAGGGAAGTAGATAATCCAGTCAAGGCTTATTTACCATGTCCCTGGCACTGTTCTAAGTGCTCTACGCTTACTAACTTACATAATTCACACAAAGATATATAAAGATAAAATTAAACGATCCTCCCAGTTTCCAGCTCAGGATACTGAAGCACACAAAATTTAAATCACTTACCCCACACATAACCTAAAATCTATGATCTTAATCACAACGCTCTCTGGAAATAATTTGGTTTTTTTTAATTACAAGGGACAAAAAGTCCTGGATTGTGAATTTACAATCAGTATCATTCTTTTTTTCTGTGATTCCTCCAGAACAAGTTTCCAGGAATAACTAGGGAATTTGACACAAAGAAAATAAACTAGAATTGGATTTTTAAGGCCAATTAAATTTCAGATAAAGTAGAAGAAATTTCTACTTTCCTTTTTTTTAAGTCTGTTCCTTTAGATCAATTCTACAGGGCTGACTGAGCATCTCTACGTACAGCTGTGGTCCAGGCTTTCACTGCAGCACCTACCGATGCCCACGGGGGTCCGAACCGTGTAGTGGAGACAGCCCAGGTGGTCCATCTGTGTGCACTCGGACGTGTGGTGCAGGATGGAGGAAGCGAAGAACCGGAAGTTCTGTACAGACCGGGGAATGTCCATGGTTCTCGCCAGGGTTAGGGTTTTCCCTGTAAGAAGTCAACAGCAGAAGGCGCTGTCAGTGTTCTTCACCTCGGACTGGGAGGAAGCAATACCACACACGTATCCTGCTCACACTGAAGTAGCCTCTGTTTCTTCCAGCCTGGGATGGGCATTCATTGGTTACAGAGAGCGTTGATCATAGTTTGATAAAACTGTGAAACAATTAGATGTGAGGTTGTAAGATGAAGTAGAGGGGGTTAGAGTTGAGTCAAATAATCTTTGTTTTGTGGACTGAACAATTCATAGCTATCATCAGGAATTCGCCAGATGCTATCACTTCACCCACACCAGCTCTTTCAATTCAAAATCACCAAGCTTTGGACATGCTACAGAGGGGTTGGAATAATGGGTGTTAAGACAGCTGTATTTGCACGTCACCAAAAAAGCACGTGGTGATATTAACTGTCCCCTCAACACACAGTGGAGTCACTAAGATGGACACATGGCAGAGCCACTGGTGGGAAGCTGGCACAGGATGCTGTGTGGCCCTTGCTCACCCATCACGTGCCCCATGCACATCCTAGACATATGCTTCCCTGGATTGTTCCTCAGTTATCTTTAGTGATACAGGGAGACTCTGCAGTGTCAGGAAGCATTTTTTTCTTAAGGGTTTGGAGTCAGGCTGCTTCTTAACTTTAGGCTGCTTTACAGCACGCATGTAAATTAAAAAGATCTTGGCCTTTCCTAACAGATATCACTACAAAGATTTACAGACATTTACTCCATTACCCTGACTTCTGGGAAGCAGTTAAAAAAATTGGGAAATTGTGTTGGGAGTGGAACAGTGACCGACATATCAGAAATCTTTCTAAAAAACTGTGTGACTGCTCTTCAAGTTATCTTTGCCTTTAGCAAACAAACTTATGTTTACCAAAGGGGAAAGGAGGGGGAGGGATAAATTAGGAGGTTGGGATTAACATATACACACTATTATATATAAAATAGATAACCAACAAGGACTTACTGTAGAGCACAGGAATTATATTCAATATCTTGTAATAACCTATAAGGGGTAAGAATCTGAAAAAGAACATATATATGTATATATACATACATATATACATATATAAGACAATTTGAAGAGCTGTCACCTGTATATGTATGTATATAGATATAGATATATATCTGAATCACTGTGCTGTACACCTGAAACTAACATATTGTAAATCAACTATACTTCAATTAAAAAATAAATATCATGCCACAACTACTGAAGCCCGTGCCCCTAGAGCCTGTGCTCTGCAACAAGAGAAGCCACCGCAATGAGAAGCCCTTACGCCACAACGAAGAGTAGCCCCTGCTTGCCGCAACTAGAGAAAGCCTGCTCGCAGCAAGGAAGACTCAATGCAGCCAAAAATAATTAATTAATTAATTAAAAATTTAAAACTAATAAATGAATCATGTAGTGAAAAGAAAAGAAACAAATTTGCTTTGAAACTCTCTACTTAGAACTAGTGGAGGGCTGCACCCTCAGCCCTCGTTCTTCCTCTCTCCCCATATCCATGCCCTTTGCCATACATCTTTGCAGTTCCTTCCACCAAATATACAATGTATTTATTTCCGTTCCTCCTGAACTGGCGTTGGGCCTTGACTTGCTTTGGCCATCAGAATGAAGCAGAAGTGGGCCAGTTGCAAGCCTCGGCCTTCAGAGGCCTTGGCTGGTTTGGCTTTCCATCCTCTACCACTGCCGTGAGAAGCACATGGGTGGGCTAGCTGATAGGTCCAAGTGGGTGGGGGTAACATGAAGAAAGTGTCCTGAGTTCCATCCACACGGTTAAGAGGCAAGAGATCAACTGACAACCTGGAAGGAGCGTGTGAACCGCCAGGAAGATAGTGCGTGCTCTTCCCATAAAGAAGGGACAGCGGCGCTAAACCCCGGCTCCGCTAGAGAGAGCGAGCTTGGGAAAGAGGGAAGAGGCTGGCACAGATGCCTCTCACCTTGGTCCCTGGATTCAGCCTGGGCCAGCTCCTCCAGGGACTGTTCCAGCAAATCCGCCAGCCGCTGCAGCACCTGCGAGCGCTCCTGGGGCCTCCGGGAGGACCAGCCCGGAAAAGCTGCTCTGGCGGCCTCCACCGCTGCTTCGATCTCGGAGGGGCAAACGGAAGAGGGTCGCCTTAGACTGTTGCTCCCGAGGGTTGGATGAATCCAGAATCCACAGGTCCGTACATGGCTAACGTTTTTTCTGCCTAATTGCAAGTATTCGACACTCCCAATACTGAGTCGCCCACAAAGTGGTGTTTACCTGACCAGCAAAGTCGGGGCACCACAAAAAAAGAAAAATGCTCCATTTTGACCAAGGTATCCAGAATGTGGCGATAATAGAATCTATTTGCGTAGCAGGTATACGTTTTCAATAATTTCAAAATATAGAAAATTTCTGAATATCATATGAGAGGAAACTTAATTAAGATGTATGGAATCTCTAAACTTTTAATGCAGTTTTGACATACTTGATAAGGTCTAAAAGTTTCTTTGAAATCACATCCCAGACTGTCATTTTCACTTGGAATGACTAATCATATTAGTTATTTATTGACTAATTTTTATATATAACGGAATGTGCTAAATGCTTTACACAAATTATTTCATTAAATCCCTTTTAAAATTCTGTAACATGAGTATTGCTAAGCCTGTTTTACAGATAAGGAAACTAAAACACAGAGAGCTCAAGTAATTTGCCAGAGGTCACACAGCTAATAAGTGGCAGAATCAGGATGCAAACCCAGATCTCTGTGGCTCCCAAGACCACAGCTGGCCTGCTATGGCATAACCACAGTCCCAGTCCCCTGCCTGGCTCCGCCCAATGGAAAGGTCCTCTGTTGGAGAAGAGGGCATCTGTGGTTGAACAGATAGCTTGGGGACCTGGTTTTAGAGCTAAATCCAAAAGGAAACAATGTATAGGAAGGTATCAGCAAAGCCAGTTCATGGAGGCAGAATGAATTATCAGGGTTTCTGCTGTCTTTCTCCTCTCTTAGGCAAACGTCTAAGCAATGCCTTTTCCAGAGATGGCAAATCCAGAGCCTGTGTCTCTCCCTTCTCCTCTCTCACATGCATGACATTCATAATCACTCACAGCTTTCTTCCACCACTGGACCCAGGCTCAGTCTCAGAATCTTTTTCCACAAGCTTCCGGCATCTTTCTTGTATTACACGATCTGAAAATTCAGCTGCCCTATCACCCCAAATCGGATCTACATGCCTTCTCATTTTCTTTATGTGAACAAAGTCACCTTCAGCTGAGCTAAAATAGGTATAAAAGGATTCTTGTCTTAATTACAAATGTCTGGAAAGTTGGTGGTTGATGCCCTGCTGCCAGCCAACAAGAGGACGGTTCCTACCTACAGCAGTCAACGTCAAATCTAATCTTCCTACAGTTGTTGATGCAAAACTCTGATCTTTTAGAAAAGCAGAAAACTCAAGTCCAGTCATATTTTCTAAGTTGTCCTATGTCACATGTCCTACATCCATTTAATGTAGAACACATATAATGTACTACATACAATATTAGCAAAAGATAATACTTATAAAGCATTTACTATATGCCAGATGCAAAGGGCTCTACATATGTCAGTCTGTTTAATCTTCAGAACAACACTCTGAAGTAGGTATTATTATTATCCCCATTTTGTAGATGAGGAGACTGAGGTTCAGCTCTAGGTCAAGAACGTAGGTATTAAGCGGTGCAGCTGATCTCTGAAGCCAGGCAGTCGGACCCCAATGCTACAGTGCAAATGCTACTGCGAGTGTGTGTGTGACCACTGATCTAAGCATGCTGTGGTCTGTAAAATAAGGATGATGATAGAGTCTTATTTATAGGTTATGACTCAGATTTGGGACAATTTGTGTTCAATGGCTTAATGAATGCACAGCACAAAGCAAAAGCTGAATGAATGGGAGTCCTGTTGACAGACTGGCCGCACTTTCTGTGAGTGACTTGTGGGGAAATTGGGCATGTGGCTTGCATGGTAACCATATTTTTCAAGCCAGAAAAACCTGGGATTTATGGTATCAGATGGAACGTTTGCAAGCTGGATGGCTGGAAAATCCAAAATATCTATTCCTCTGCGAGCAGGTGTATCCATCCCTCATTCTCTCGTCTGCAAGGGCTGAGCCATTAGCTGCAGAAAATATTTCTCCTGAATTTGGCATACTTGTCAATTTTAACTTTACTTTGGAAAGGGCTCTGAGACAATGAGGGCTGGAAAAGCTGGATTTTCCACGTCTATCCCAGGTCATTTGAAGCAAACAAAATTGCAGGTTACAGTTTAACCAACAGATTAGCCAATATTTGCAAACTTTAATCCAAAAGTCTAAAGGTTTCTTTTTAATGCAAGACAGATTTAGAATATTATTAACAGTAGAGAAAGAATAGCTTAGTTCTTTTTTTAAATAAACCTTGCATATAATACTCATTTACATATGAAGGCTACAATTATCTTTTAAATAATCTAGTTCTTTGTGCCTTAAAAAAATAAATTAAAATCCATTTAATTTGAGCATAAATCCATTTAGATGAGTATAAATTCATCAGCCACATTTATCACCCCAAATATATTTATACTCTCAGTGCAATAACTAATCAAATATATCGCAAATATTTTACAAAACTCCTCAATAATATTAATTCTACATCACTGAAAAAAAGTTTTAATGTGTGCACCATTAAGTACTTTGAGTAAGAAAAAGTAGTGTTAAATTTAACTTCAAAAATATGCAGGGGGCTTCCCTGGTGGCGCAGTGGTTGAGAGTCCGCCTGCCGATGCAGGGGACACGGGTTCGTGCCCCGGTCCGGGAAGATCCCACATGCCGCGGAGCGGCTGGGCCCGTGAGCCATGGCCGCTGAGCCTGCGCGTCCGGAGCCTGTGCTCCGCAACGAGAGAAAAAAAAAGAAAAAACCCCCCGCGAACAGAAAAAAAAAAAAAAAAAAAAAAAAATATGCAGGAATTTGATTCTGCATTTCATCATTCAAATGATTGGTTTTACTTTACTAGATATTTTGAAGACATGAAGATTACAGGATAATATAAAATAAATCCCTGGGTTTTAAGATTTTGCTAATTTTTGTGAAGTAATGCATTTTGTGGAAATCCATGAATATAATGGCAAATTTAGGCAACACTTGGTTGAGAAAAAGGATCACTTAGTAATACTGATCATTCTTACAAATAATGCTTTTTACTAGGCACCCATCAAGGAATGTCTGTGAGTTGTGGCTTTGTGTTAGGCTACCTGGATTATTATTTGTTTCTGCATATGGTAACCTGAGATTGGTGTCGTGTATCATATATACCCAATTACAAAATAAACCTTCCTAGAACTAAAAACCTTCCTTCTGCTAATGTTTAACAATCCTACACCTTTTCTCAATTTCCTTTGCTCCTAGAAAATTAAGTTACCATAAATCACCAACAGGCAAAGTAGATTTCAGTCTTCTCTGAGTGAATATACTCACCTCTTCTTTTCCACTGTTTGGCACTCGGCAGTACACTTCCCCTGTAGAGGGATCGTAGGAATCTATGTATGAGCTACAAGGTAAAAATTTCCCATCTATGAAATTTTCCAGCATCAGAAGGGCCCTTGTTCCAGCCATAGGAAAGGACATGCCTGCCCTTCCCCTTTGCGTTGCTCAGGAAGGTTATCCCCCCGCTCTCCCGACTCCTGACTTAAGTCCCCTCCTCACTTCCAGCCCCAGTGACCCCATCTGCCAATCAGTGAAAGTGGGAGGTGACATGACATTCTCCGAGAGTATTTCAGTCTCTAAACTCCGAATGAAGAGAGTTCCCAAATATTTCACAGCTGTCCAGTACGTTGTGAGAAATGGATAATAATATGTTAAAGCAACATCAGCTTATGTGTTCATGGCCCTTTAAAATGGTCAAAAGGCATCTGTGTGTATCATTTTATTGGATTTACACTATATTCACTGCTCGAACATTGATTAAGTGCCAGGCTGTGAGGCAGGTCTTTACATGAATTTACTCATTTATTCCACACAACAATCCTATAGAAAGTAAAGGTCATTACTTCCCTTCTTTTGTCCTCGGAGAGGTGAATTTGTCCAAAATTGCAGAGTTGGTAAGGGTCCTTTTAGTCTCCAAATCATGTGCTTTTTCCTCAGTGCATCACTGCCCTCACCCTCAGAGGTGGCTGAAGGCAGACTTTCTCTTTCCATCACCCACCAGTTTCTCTCTGCCTTGTCGCTGAACTGTCCATCCTAAAACCGGGGCTGCCACCCCAGCCCACATCTTCCCAGATGTGCCATGAAGATGACGGTATCAGCCCAAACTATATACAATGTATGTAACACACCCAGGACTCATGTCCATGATGTATATAAGAAGTTCTACAAATTGGTAAGAGAAATGAACAACCTCATAGAAAGGTAAGCAAAGGATATGAAAAGCACCTCATAGCAAAGGGAACACAGTGGGCTAATGAGTGCGTGAAAGGATGCTCTGTGTCACAGTTAATCAGGGAATGTGAGAGACAAAGAAGACTGGAAAAGTTTTTTTTTTTTTAAATTGAGGTATAGTTGATTTACAATGTTCTGTTAGTTTCAGGTGTACAGCAAAATTTTATATATATATATACACACAACACACTTTTTCACATTCTCTTCCCTTATAGGTTATTACAAGATATTGAGTAGAGTTCCCTGTTCTATAAAGTAGGACCTTGTTGATTATCTATTTTATATATAGTAGTGTGTATCTGTTAATCCAAATTCCCAATTTATCTCTCTCCCCTTCCCCTTTGGTTACCATAAGTTTCTTTGTGAGTCTGTTTCTGTTTTGTAAATAAGTTCACTTGTATCATTTTTTTAGATTCCACATATAAGCGATATCATATGATACTTGTCTTTGTCTGACTTACTTCACTCAGTATGATAATCTCTAGGTCCATCCCTGTTGCTGCAAATGGCATTATTTCGTTCTTTTTGTGGCTAAGTAATATTCCATTGTGTATACATACCACATCTTCTTTATCCACTCATCTATCAATGGACATTTAGGTTGTTTCCATGTCTTGGCTATTGTAAATAGTGCTGCCACATTTATTTCATTTATTTCACCATTAATTTACTAATACATATTTAAGTGGCTTCAATGTGAGAGAGAAAAGGGATCTTCTGAAAGCTAAAAGCTGGCCTGGCACTCACAGCTGGGCCATGGTGTTCCCCTACTGAACACTGACAATTCCTAAATCTCTGACATCAGACAAGGTTATTCTGTGCTCCTGATGAAGTGAGATACTGTCCTCACACCTGAGCACAGACCAAAAGGCACCGTGCAAACCATGAAAATGACTTAACATCGCCCTCTTGTGGTCAATATGCATGACTGCTGCTTTACTGCGTTCCATTTCTCCTACCTCCTATATGAAAATTGATACCCAACTGCAGAATTATTCCCACTTTCTGACCGTGCCCAGTCCAGAAGAAACCCCTGCTCACCTGAGCCCTCCCTCCTCATTACCTACATGTGCTCAATTCTTCACACCTTCTTATGAGAAGCACCTAGACTCCACGGCGGTCTCTCTGCCTGCAACAAGCATCAAAAAAAATAATAATTTTGACTACGATTGTGTCCTGGTGGTCTTTGACTGATGACATCAACAAATGATCGGCATCAACATATGCTTGCTAAAGAATTTTCTACCATGATGTCCCCAATCTTAAAGTGTTCAACTACCTCTTCATGATCTGGACATTTAAAATCCTGCCTCCCCAATCCCTTCACCCTCTCCCAGAAGGACATCTTTTGAGACTCTTACCCCGCCTATAAGTAACGTCATATGAGTGATGAATTTGTGAGTTACAGTCCCTCTAACTTTGAGTTTTATATATTTAGCTCCTGTGTCCCTCTGTCTTTTGGAATTTAGCGCTGCCGAAAAGACTAAAGCTAATTTTTTGTTTCTTTGAAGATGATTTTTGGGGGAGTTTTGTTTTGTTTCCAAGATTGGCTTAATCTCATTAAAATTCCCTTGTGATGTTTTACATAAAATATGGTGCAATCTTGGGGTCTTCCTGTTCATCATTTTCACCTATCTGCATTCTAGGAGTGGTTTCCAAGGACAACCTCTATATCATCAACTCTTCGGCAATTGCTATCTATTTTACAGGCTTCACTGAATGTTTAAATTTTGCTATTACGATTTAGGCTTCCGTGGAGTCTCTTCTAACCTGTTCTGATTCTTTTCTCAGCTCAGCAATATCCCCTTACTTCTCACAGACACCATGCAGCAGTTATTGAAAGAAAACTTTTGTTTCCTGCAATACACCTGAAAGAAAGCTTTTTGCCTGCATGTGCTCAGGTACTACCGATTTTGCCACAAGCCTCTTATTTCTTAACCATCTTTAAATAAAAAGAAATATACCCAAGCCCAGTATTGGAAAGTACTAATGTGTCAGTTACTCCCACCATCTATCTCATAGTCCACCTGAGAGCTAGGAGAATCCCTAGCAGCCAGTCAATTGCTGGTTCCCTCTCTGAAATGCAGGCACATTTGAATCTTCCAGGATCAAGAGGGTCACCCCAGCTCAAGAAAGACTCCAAATTACAGCTGAGGTTCACCAGACAAGAGGACAGACAGAAGCAGTTTTAAAGTTTGCTTCTAACAAGTTTTCTCTTTCCTTCACTTTAAAAAACAGCGCCTTCACACACAGCATTATCATAGAAATAAAAGCTTGTAATTTTCTGACAATACAGATGTAAAGAAATGAAAATCCTCCATAATGCCACCACCGGTGTTAATTCTTTCACTCATTTAACAATTGCATGTGTGAAGGACTACATCAATTGCTGAAAAAGAATCAGAAGCAAAACAGAAAAGGTCTCTTTCCTCTTGGGACTTACATTTCAGCGGAAGGAGAACATAAATGAATCATACAAGTCAATATAAAATTGCACCCACGAAAATATTCCAAGGAGAGAGACAAGGTCCCACTGAAGCACATAGTAACCCATTTTCCTTTACACTAGTCAGAGGCCGGGGGTTCCCTGAGAAAACAGCAATGAGCTGGTACACAGGAGCAGAACCCAGTGTTCCACAGTGTTCTAATTAATCATTAACACGTATAGTTACATGGTTCATCTCACCCCTAGTGTGTTCATATTTTTTTTTTCCTTTTAAAAATCTTGAATATCTTTGGCATTTTCAAAGAACCAGGTTGTAAATTACTTGATCCGTTCTACTTTTGCTCTGCTGGCAAGATTCTAAAGCTAAGAAGGACTTTAGGTGTCTTCAACTAGGGTTATTGCTGGGCTCTCCTCATCTTGCCACTTGTACCCATACCTCATGTCAATGTGTGGTTCTGCTGGCTTGTGCCCCACTGTTAAGATTCTCACTGACGTGGTTCTTCTTACTGGAGGTGGGTGGGTTCTAAAGAATGGTTTTTACTGTTGGTGGGATCTTGATGTTGCTACTTTGAAGGCTAAAAGCTGCCCTCTTGGATGATTTTGCCAATGCAAAACCTGCCCCCGTTCCCTCCACTAATCCTGAATTGGTAGGAGATTGTGGCTTACGGGTTGAATTAGTTTAACTCAAGAGACTCTTGTATAGAAGTATTACAATTTTACTTCAGTATTAATGGTCCCCCCTCCTCACCTAGCCCCCTTCTAATGTTGTCTTTAGGGTGCATTCCTCCTGAATGTTTTCACACTGTTAACTCTCGTTTGTAGTTTGTAGTGCTGAGAAAGGCCCCTGGCTGAACTGTCAGCCCCATGACGACCGGCGCTCCAGAGCTCCCTCTGTGCATGGATATGGCAGACTCTTAGGGATGAAGGAAGGAATGTTTTCCTATTTACATATTTCTGTGACTATTTTAGAGGGAAGTTGGAAAATAATGGCCCAGGAGTTTTTATTGAGCCTTCTTATCTGGAAGCTTTTTAAAAAATTAGCTGTATAATCCTAATTCCAATATATCTAGGTTTCTAATTTTATATTTTTACATCATTTTTAAAAAGCTACTAATATTTCTATCAAAAAATCTTGATTACATTATAAAATGAAAAGAGCTTGACTAATGATCACAACTCCAAGAAAAAATATGCCCTAGAGACAGAAAAGAAATACATCAACATGTTAGCAGCAGTAATATTGATATTTAGGCAATATTACTATGGGTGAGTTTTATTCTTTACTTTTCTGTATTTTCCAAATTTTCTAGAGGGAATGATTACATTTTAACAATAGTTAAAATTATTACTGATCTGCATATTATTGGGAGAAAACAAACTATGTCCAGAAATTGTTTTCTAAACCAATATTTGAGTTTCTAAAATTCAAATATTGTCATAAATAACGAACGTGTGGAAAAACACTAACAAGCCCAAACATGGATCTGAAATTTTTTTAAGCCAGGTTACCACAGAGGCAACTGATCAAGTGGAGGCCCATGAAGAGTCACGGTAAGAGGACAAAGCCACTTGGGTAAAGAAACAGCGTGACCATAAATAGGAAGAAGCAGAGACAAGAAGTACCTGAAGCACAGTGACCCAATATGGATGTACTATTTAGTGTGGTAAGTATCAGGGGGAGGATTTCAGACCAAACCCAAGCTTGGGCGTGCTCGCCAGACATCTTGTCATTTAACCCCAACCTCCCACAGTGGGTTCTCTTAATATTACCACCCCTCAACAACAAT